ATATCTTAAATAATATGGATCCAAACCAGTGCCTTGAGAAGATCAATTTCCTTGCAGCTGAAGTATGTTCAAAGCATATTCCACTAAGAAAGAAGAAGAGAAGAAAACTGGAAAGAGAAAGACGCTCCCTCTACAGAAGATGACGAAGAATCACTGAGCTCCTCAAGAACACTAGATTATCTGATACATGGAAGGAAGTGCTGACCAGGGAAGTGGAAAGTATCAAACTTTACTTAAAGGATTCATACAGGATTCAGGAGAGACGGGGGATGCTAAAAGCGATTATTGAAGTTGAAAGAAATTCAAAATATTTCTTTTCATATGCAAAAAACAAGGCAAATACTACATCTATATCGAGCCCTCGCTCAGACAAGATGGGACTTACACAGATGACAACAAAGAAATGAGTGAGATACTGAAATCCCAATACGACTCTGTGTTTAGTGAGCCACTAGTCAGTCTAAAGATTGACAATCCAAATGATTTTCTTCATGAATGAGCCTCAAACCTCCATCAATGTATGCCAGATCTCTGACATTACCCTAACTCCAACAGACTTCGACAAAGCTATTGACAACATGCCCATGCACTCAGCCCCAGGCCTAGACTTGTGGAACTCTGTTTCATTAAGAACTGCAAGAAACCATTTTTGCATACCCTAAGTATACTATGGAGAAGGAACTTAGACACAGGTAAAATTCCACAGTCACTAAAAACAACCGATATAACCCCACTCCATAAAAGTGGCAGCAAAACATTAGCTAAGAACAATAGATCCAATAGCTCAAACATCCTACACCATAAAAATCTTTGAAAGAGTGCTATTAAGAATGATTGCAAACCACTTGGATTCAGAAAAACTGCACAATCCAGGGCAACATGGCTTCAAAGCGGGTCACTCCTGCCTCTTGTAACTACTGGATCACTATGATATGGTCTTGGATGTACTGGAAGAAAAACAGAATGAAGATGTAATATACAGGTCTCCTTCAACTTTCGCAGGCTCCACACATTCGCGAATTCCCAGCCGCCAAATTCCCAGCCGCCAAATCATATTTCAGTTTCCCGCCACCCACGCGTCCCTACTACCCTCCCTCCGACCCCTGCAACTGGCATGCATTGGGCTTTGAAGGTGATGAACGACATTGATAGGAGCATAATTCCCTACCAAACTCTGTAGATATGAAGAGGAAACAGTCTCAGTTGCTCATCATAATGTTCTCCACAAGGAAGCCTGCCACTACCCCTGCCGCTACCCCTACTGCCCTGCCTACTGCCCCTACTGAACCTCAACCCGTCGGCAGTGATGCTGGAAGTGAAGACTTAGAATCCACACACTAGTCTCATCATGCCATGCAGTTACACTCCATATAATCACCTCCATTCAACTGTCATCAGTAACTGCATGGCTAACTATCATCATAGTCATTGCCATCATCATCACAAGTCATCAGAGTTTGTCGGCCTTATGAGTGGTGAGTTTTTTTTTGTTCATTATTTGTTATTAACCCTTTCAGGGTCCGTCCCGTAGATCTACGGCTTTACGGTGTCCAAACCGTAGATCTACGCCACGAGCTCAGCTCACTCTGATAAACTGAGTGGTACATTTGGCCCTAGATATGAGAGAATACATCTATGTGGTATGTGTGCACCACATAAAACAGATCCTGCAGCACACTGTGTATAATGAGAGAAAAAAACTGAAATCATGATTTTTCGATTAAAACAGCGACTTTGCAGTGTTTTTTCGTATGTTTTTTTATAGTTGTATTTGCGATTTCTTGGTCTCATTTGATAGAATGGAAGACATATTACAGAAATAGAGATGATTTTGATTGGTTTTAGCACTGGAAATGGCTTGAAACTGAGCTCAAAGTAGCGGAAATGTTAAATTTTTGGCGATATTCAAGAGTAAACAAACGACCTCACACATCTAATACACGTCAGCTGGTGGGTCTAATATACATTCACAAATATGGTGATGATATTTATACAATTATTACAGTATTGCATAACAGTAAATCTTCTATTTTTTGGTGTGAATAAAAATTCATTATGTGAATAAAAAATCAAAATGGAATTTATTTGTAAAGCCTCAAAATGTAACTAATGAACAGAGGAAATGTTAGTTTAGTTCCAGGAATACCTACATTGTTTATTCTGGAGCCTATTTTGAAATTGGAATATTTTGAACTTTGTGTTAAATTGGCCAAATTAACAATTTCCGATCACTTTATTTTGTAGTTGAAACAGTTGACTTGGCGATTTCTTGTGCTCAATCGATAGAATAGAAGTAATACTAGTGAAATAGCTAAGAATTTGGTTGATTGGAATAATGTAATTGGCCTAAAATGGGAGTCAAAGTCGGCAAAATCGCCGATTCGTAAATATCGCTGACACATCAAAATTCGCGAGAGCATAATTTCGTCAATTTTCCACCAAATTTCGTACTTTTTGTTTTATTACCTTCACAAAAAGATTCTCTACGATTTCATAAGAAAAAATAAAAATTTTTTTTTTTGAAAATTCTTGGACACTGGTGCGTGACTTCAGATTTTGGCCTTGGACCCTGAAAGGGTTAAACTACAGTATAAATAATGTCAACCCATTCATGACTGCTAATAATAATAATAATAATAATAATAATAATAATAATAATATGACAGAATTGAAGAAGGAAATTGTACAAAAATAAGAGGTTGAAGCAGTGGTGGATACAGTGGTTGAGGCATCGTGAGTCAGTGTGGCTTTGTTTATGTTGGAGTGAGCATTACCCTCCACGCTCATCCAAACATTTCACAATAATTCATTGTGTTTGGTGCTTGCTGACTGAGTGACTGATACATAATTAACCATGGGCCCAAAGAAACTTGCTAGTAAAGAAATTGAAAAACACGATAGAACTGAAGAAAGAAATTGTAGAAAAATATGAGGCAGTGGTTGAGGCAGTGGTTGAGGCAGTAGTTGAGGTAGTGGTTGAGGCAGTGATTGAGGCAGTGGTTGAGGCAGTGGTGGAGTCAGTGGTATTTAATAACATACATGTCATTAAACCATAACATGTATGTATACAGTACAATATTTTATGATGTTTTCATGTATTTTATGACTGTTTATTGTTCAATCATTAACGATTTTTCAACATTTGTGAGGTTCTTGATCCCCTAACCCTCGCGAATGTTGAGGGAGACCTGTGCACAGACTTTGCAAAAGCCTTTGACAAGTGCGATCATGGTGTAATAGCGCACAAAATGTGTGTTAAAGGAATAACTGGCAAAAGTGGGGAGATGGATCTTCAACTTTCTAATCAATTGCACACAATGAATAGTGGTAAACAGAGTTAAACTGGAAGCTACCATAGTGAAAAGTTCTGTTCCACAAGGCACAGTACTCGCCCCTGTCCTGTTCCTTATCCTCATATCAGACATAGACAGAGATGTAATCCACAGTACCGTGTCATCCTTTGCAGACGATATTAGGATCTGCATGAGACTGTCATCTATTGAGGACATGGTTAACCTCCAAGAAGATACAAACCAAGTTTTCCAATGGGCAACAGAAAACAATACGATGTTCAATGAAGACAAATTACAACTACTCCGAATAACAAAAAAAAAAAGGCACAATACGGTGACTGGAACGCTACACAAATAACCCACACATAGAAGAGAGGAGCTTACGACGACGTTTTGGTCCAACTTGGACCATTTACAAAGTCACAGTATGACTTTGTAAATGGTCCAAGTCTGACCAAAACTTCATTGTAAGCTCCTCTCTTCTATGTGCGGGTTATCTGTGAACAACTACTCCGTTATGGAAAACTGGAGGAGAAAATAATTAGAACTGAGTATACAGTACTACAAACTCTAATCATACAACAGAGCGAAAAAATAATGTGAGGGACCTGGGAGTGGTAATGTCTGAGGATCTCACTTTCAAAGATTATACCAATGCCACGATCACAAACGTGAAGAAAATGATAGGATGGATAATGAGAACGTTCAAAACATGAGATGCCAAGCCAATGATCCTTTTCAAATCACTTGTTCTCTATAGGCTGGAATACTGCTGTATATTAACATCTCTGTTCAAAGCAGGTGAAATTGCAGATCTAGAGATTGTATAGAGAACCTTTACTGCACATATAAATTCCATCAGACACCATAATTACTGGGAATGCTTGGAAGCACTTGACTTGTACTCACTGGAATGCATGCAAGAGAGATATATTATAATCTACACTTGGAAAATCCTAGAAGGAATGGTCCTGAATCTACACACAGAAATCACTCTCAATGAAAGTGAAAAACAGGGCAGGTGATGCAAAATACCCACAATGAAAAATAGGGGCACCATTGGTATACTATGAGAAAATGCCATAAGTGTCCAGGGCCCAAGACTGTTCAACAGCCTCCTACCATGCATAAGGGAAATTACCAATAGGCCCCTGGCTGCCCTCAAGAGGGAGCTGGACAGATGCTTAAAGTTAGTGCTGGATCGGCCGGGCTGTGGTTCGTATGCTGGACTACGTGCGGCCAACAGTAACAGCCTGGTTCATCAGGCCCTGATCCACCGGGAGGCCTGGTTGTGGACTGGGCTGTGGGGGCATTGATCCCCAGAATATCCTCCAGGTAGACTCCAGGATGTATTTCTTTCACCTTAGTAAATATTGTGACCCCCACACATAATGCTATAGTGTCTTATCCAGTTTATGTATACAGTGGACCCCGCTTAACGATCACCTCCCAATGCGACCAATTATGTAAGTGTATTTATGTAAGTGCGTTTGTATGTGTACGTTTGGGGGTCTGAAATGGACTAATCTACTTCACAATATTCCTTATGGGAACAAATTCGGTCAGTACTGGCACCTGAACATACTTCTGGAATGAAAAAATATCGTTAACCGGGGGTCCACTGTACTAGTATATATGTCTAACTCAATGAAATTGACTATAATATTTTAAATACAAGAAGGAAATGCATTGTTAGCATTCACTCACCTCCATATCTGGGTTCTGAGGCTTAGGCTCTGGTTGAACTCTGTCAATATAAATGAGGGTTGGGTCGGAGGGGTGAGCGCGCCACGTTACTTCAGCCAGAGGAAGAGCATGCTGCTGAGCATCCTCTTCAACACTCAGAATAAACAGCACCTGTATACAATCATAAAACAAATTATTCTGCTATTCTGTATAAATAAATTATTGTGCCATTCTATATAAATAAATTACTGCCTATTCTTACATTTAGTTACTTCGAAAAAAAAAAATTGTGTCTGTCCAAATTAGCTGCTTAGATACTTAGCATCTTAGCCTTTTAGAGTGGCTCTGCATGACCATGTCATTTTATATGACTGTGTCTTGGCAAGAGGCGTGGAGTTAAAAGATAAAGAATCACACATAAAGAGGGAGTTGTCACAGTTGCTCTTTGCTGATGACACTGTGCTCTTGGGAGATTCTGAAGAGAAGTTGCAGAGGTTGGTGGATGAATTTGGTAGGGTATGTAAAAGAAGAAAATTAAAAGTGAATACAGGAAAGAGGATAACAAAAAGATTAGGTGATGAAAGATTGGATATTAGATTGGAGGGAAAGAGTATGGAGGAGGTGAATGTATTCAGATACAGTATTTGGGAGTGGACGTGTCAGCGGATGGGTCTATGAAAGATGAAGTGAATCATAGAATTGATGAGGGGAAAAGGGTGAGCGGTGCACTTAGGAGTCTGTGGAGACAAAGAACTTTGTCCTTGGAGGCAAAGAGGGGAATGTATGAGAGTACATGTATAGTTTTACCAACGCTCTTATATGGGTGTGAAGCATGGGTGATGAATGTTGCAGTGAGGAGAAGGCTGGAGGCAGTGGAGATGTCATGTCTGAGGGCAATGTGTGGTGTGAATATAATGCAGAGAATTCGTAGTTTGGAAGTTAGGAGGAGGTGCGGAATTGCCAAAACTGTTGTCCAGAGGGCTGAGGAAGGGTTGTTGAGGTGGTTCGGACATGTAGAGAGAATGGAGCGAAACAGAATGACTTCAAGAGTGTATCAGTCTGTAGTGGAAGGAAGGCGGGGTAGTGGTCGGCCTAGGAAAAGTTGGAGGGAGGGAGAAAAGGAGGTTTTGTGTGCGAGGGGCTTGGACTTCCAGCGGGCATGCGTGAGCGTGCTTGATAGGAGTGAATGGAGACAAATGGTTTTTAATACTTGACGTGCTGTTGGAGTGTGAGCAAAGTAACATTTATGAAGGGATTCAGGGAAACCGGCAGGCCGGACTTGAGTCCTGGAGATGGGAAGTACAGTGCCTGCACTCTGAAGGAGTGGTGTTAATGTTGCAGTTTAAAAACTGTAGTGTAAAGCACCCTTCTGGCAAGACAGTGATGGAGTGAATGATGGTGAAAGTTTTTCTTTTTCGGGACACCCTGCCTTGGTGGGAATCGGCCAGTGTGTTAACAATAAAATAATAATCTTTTGTCTTATAATTAATAATCTACTGTACAACTATGATATAATTCTTAGTGTTAAGTAGTCAGTAAGCCAATAGTGTTAAGTCTGCCCATAATGCCTAGGCATAATAGAGGCTCTCTTTGTATTGCAACCCATTATTGTAAATACATAATCTCAATGTACTATTTGCAAAGACATAAATAAATAAATAAATAAATAAATAAAATAAATAAATAACAAGGACGGAGGGGTGCAACACACTCGGATTTGGCAGGCCATAACCATAGAGTTTTACATAAAACATAATTAGGATATTGAATTTCTGTTTCAGATACACAAACACATTCCTAATCTTACATAACCTGTTGTTTCTGTCACCCCTGGTTTTGTCTGAGAATTGAAGCATACATAATAGTAGCACAAATTGATTCACTCGCATTATATCACTGAAACCTGGGGTTGCAATCAGGCGGTCTGCTGACCAGTATGATTTCACACTGTGCTTATACACATGTGGCATAAGCATTATTGTGGCAAACAAAAGATACATCTCAGCCACAGCTATCTTCTTCCACTGGTGTAGGCATGATTTTGGTGAAAGTATTGTGTTTGCCATGATGTACTCGAAGTATCTGTTGCTTTCCCTGACAATAATTTCCATCAGGGGTTTGTCAAAGAATAACTCGAAACATTCCAGTTCAGTGGTATCATTCCCAAGTGTACAAGATGGCTGTACATATTCCACTTTGAGTTTCATCAAAGCGATGGGGATTGGGAACAAAATTGTCAGCTTACTGCCAATCCCAAGTGTGGTCTGCTGGTGGGTACTGGATATTGACAGGTGGTTGTGGAGGTTGTGGTTGTGGAGGCTGTGGTTGTGGAGGTTGTGGTTGCAGAGGCTGTGGTTGTGGAGGTTGTGGCTGTGGAGGTTGTGGTTGTGGAGGTTGTGGTTGTGGAGGTTGTGGTTGTGGAGGTTGTGGTTGTGAAGGTTGTGGTTGTGAAGGTTGTGGTTGTGGAGGTTGTGGTTGTGGAGGCTGGTGTGGTGGGTGGGTGGTTGAGGGTAGTCTTTGTTGTAGCTGAGCTGACTCAGCGGCATGGGTGGCAGCATGGTCACTGCTGGTGCCCCACCATTCTGCACATTTTCCATCCCAATTGCAACACTATCATCTTCATTTTCATTATCTGTTCCTGTTGTACAACCACAGGATGTACTCTGAGATGTACTCCTTTCCCTTGGAATAGCATATGGCACACTACCAGAGCGCATATACCGTCTTATATACTGACGCTTCACTGGAGAATATTCCACTTCACTATTGCTGCTGGAACTGTTTTCAAGAGCTTGTAGTTCATATTCACTATCACTATCATCACCATTGGTCACATCTGAGTCCTGGATATGGGAAAATAGGAGTTTCCTCTTTCGTTCTGGTACAACTGAACATGAACAAGACGGCCCAGCACCAGAGGTGGAAGCTTGAGAGTCATCTGGATTATCCTCACTATTACCGGTATTATGGTCCGTAGTTTCAGTCACAACCTCATCAAAACCTTGAAACTCATCTTCACTGGCACTTCCAACTGTATTGGAACTGTCACTGAGAAACAAAAGTGTCCCAATTTGCCAAAGAGTGAGGAGTTTCTTACCACAAGGCGTGGTGAAGAAGGTGTACTAAAATGGCGTTCCCACAATGCACCACTGGGTGTCCGATTTTTTCCTAACGTGCACACTGACCACTCAGACCCATTCTCTCACATCTAGGCATACCAGCCTTTTTCCGCTTGATTTGAAGGCGCTAGAATTTATGCGTACTAGTACGTCAATAACCTTGGCACGTAAGCCGTACTAGTACGTCGGAAACCCTGAAAGGGTTAATTCACAGTGGAAATTCCATTGACATTGGACCAAAAAAAAAAAAAAAAAAGGCGATTTGGCTCGTTGCCCCCTTAACCCTTTGAGGGTCCATGCCATAGATCTACGGCTTTACGTTGAGGGTCCAAACCGTAGATCGACGCCAAAATTCTAGCGGCTTCAAATTTAATGCAAGAAGGCTGGTAGGCCTACATGTGAGAGAATGGGTCTGCATGGTGGGTGTGGCCGTGAAAAAAAATTCTAGGCACCCGCATAGCATTGTGGGAATGCCGGCTCAGTTACCTTCGTTCACCATGCCTCGTCGCAAGGCAGCTCTCACTCCAAGGAAAATTGGGACTCTCCTCTTCCTATCTGATAGTTCTGACTCTGATGGAAGAGGAAATGAAGACGAATTCTATGGCTTTGATCAGATAGTGACCAAAAGGAATGACCAGGATATCGATAACAGTGCAGAAAATCCTGACGATCCTCAAACTTCTACCTCTGGTGTGGGCACGCCTCAGTCACGTTCAGTTGTACCTCATCACAAGAACATAAGAAAGAAGGAACACTACAACAGGCCTACTGACCCATGCGGAGCTGGTCCATTCCCCCCCCCCCCGGATTAGCCCAATGACCCCCCCCCAGATTAGCCCAATGACCCAACCAGTCTGGTCACCTCCACTCAAGGATGGAGCACAGCACCAGACCCAGCAGCACAAGCTAGTCAGGTCCAACTCACACCCACCCACATCCACTCATGTATTTATCTAACCTATTTTTAAAACTACACAACGTTTTAGCCTCAATAACTGTACTCGGAAGTTTGTTCCACTTATCCACGACTCTATTACCAAACCAGTGTTTTCCTATATCCTTCCTGAATCTGAATTTTTCCAACTTGAAACCATTGCTGCGAGTCCTGTCTTGGCTGGAAATTTTCAGCACGCTATTTACATCCCCTTTATTTATTCCTATTTTCCATTTATACACCTCGATCATATCCCCCCCAATTCTATGCCTTTCGAGAGAGTGCAGATTCAGGGCCCTCAGTCTATCCTCATAGGGAAGATTTCTGATACATGGAATCATCTTTGTCATCCTCGTCTGTATGTTTTCCAGAGCATTTATATCCATTCTGTAATACGGTGACCAGAACTGAGCAGCATAGTCTAAATGAGGCCTAACCAAGGATATATAGAGTTGAAGAATAACCTGAGGACTTCTATTATTTATGCTTCTAGATATGAAGCCAAGAATTCTGTTAGCTTTATTGCGAACACTAATGCACTGTTGTCTTGGTTTTAGATTACTGCTAACCAGAACTACTAAATCCTTTTCACAATCAGTAGTACAGTGGACCCCCGGTTTACGATATTATTTCATTCTAGAAGTACAGTGGACCCCCGGTTAACGATATTATTTCATTCTAGAAGTACAGTGGACCCCCGGTTAACGATATTTTTTCACTCCAGAAGTATGTTCAGGTGCCAGTACTGACCGAATTTGTTCCCATAAGGAATATTGTGAAGTAGATTAGTCCATTTCAGACCCCCAAACATACACGTACAAACGCACTTACATAAATACACTTACATAATTGGTCACATTCGGAGGTGATCGTTATGCGAGGGTCCACTGTATGTTCATGTGCCAGTACTGAACGAATTTGTTCCCATAAGGAATATTGTGAATTAGATTAGTCCATTTCAGACCCCCAAACATACACGTACAAACGCACCTACATAAATGCACTTACATAATTGGTCGCACTGGGAGGTGATCGTAAACCGAGGGTCCACTGTATTAAGATCTACATTATTTAGTTTATATTCTTTCTTTCTTTCAACACACCGGCCATATCCCACC